TATAAATATATATGTATATATATATATATATATATATATGTTACAACAATGTTAGAATTATAAATATTATGTTTGTGCGATGTGAATACACATTATAAAATATATGTACATAAAATTCTAATATTGCGTATAAATAGATAATATCTGCATTATCTCAACATGAGTGACTTTTATCTGTTTACATAATGTGTGCGTGTGTGTGTTTACATAGTATAATATACATACAATTTTCTATAATATATTGGATATATATGTCGACATGTTAGTAATGTATGTACTATAAGTAACTATCTCTTTTTATTAGACAGAGCAAAGAGAGTTACGTCATGTATGTGCAATGTTGTATTCATTTATTGATAATATATTATATTATCCTAATCTAAAATGGCATTGAACATAAGAAAAAAGTGCTACTACGGCTTCGTATCGATAACTATTAGTTAAAAATCTGTACTTTATGTATATTACAGATGTTTAGTACTGGTGGTATATATTGAAATGCGGCCTACATTGCATATGTATATAATACAACTGTATTTCTAAAGTCCAATTCCACAAATATAAGATTAATTTCAATCTCGATTTATTTTTTTCTCAATTCTAAAATTGGAAAATTTTCCAAAATTAAATAAATCTTACATTTGTGGGATCGAACCTAATACATGTTTTCGTCTCTGAGCTCAGATGGTTATGTAGGAAACAGAATAAAAATGATAATTAATCGATCGAATTTCCTGTATGATCATATTAATTCAGAGGGCGTATAAGCATCTTATATATTAGAAATAAAAACCTGTAATATCGACCTTGATTAAGTTCTGCCGTCGCTCCAGCATTCCCTTAAGTAGAACGTCAATACAATTCGTTTATTACATTAAATGATACCATGATACAAATGACATGATAATAATGAATGAAAATATATTACAATGTGTATAAAAAATATATATATATATATATATATATTGTATTTATTTATTTATTACAATAGTAATGTAGTATTTTCGGAACGCGGAATAAACGCGAATGTACGTGAAGACGTTGCGAGGTTTTACGCGGACCAGAGAGAGAGGGGGGGGAGAGAGAGAGAGAGAGAGAGAGAAAGAGAGAGAGAGAGAGGCTGCGTTCGGAATCGTTACCCTGAGGGTAGTACCGGGCAAATGGTGGGAGCAAGGTGAATAATTTCTGAACGCATATCGGGCAAATAAATAAAAAATGGCAGACAAGGGACAATCTTGCGCAAATATAGGCTTGTGCCATAACTACTAGATCAAATTAATACGAAATACCTTAAATAACTTATATCCAGAAAGATGAAGTAGACGGAATAATTGAGGAAGCAAATCTTGTTGAAGTCAAATTAAGATTCGGCAATCGAGGCCATTGTGAGGTTAGAGAACAACTATATACAATATAAATAAAATTATACCAAGATTTAATAAAATGTTCCGTCAATATTTTTGTATAACTAAAACAACTTACTTAAAATCTTGAGCGATGGTTAAATCCGGTACTGATAGAGAAAGAAAGAAGACCAATGATTCCAGTTAGAAATCAGCTTCTATCAGTTATTTGATTTTTGAAAACTCCAGATTTTCGGTGAATGATAATTTTATAAATATAAATTTCTTATTAACAATGTGTACAATAATTAAATTGGTATTATAGATTCGTTGCAGATCGTTTCAATATAAAAAAATCTATGCTACACAATGTTCCTGCAGAGTTGTAAATGCTCTAAATGATATAGCAGATGAAATTATTGTATGGTTATAAGGAGATGAACTAATTACCATAAGAAGATTTAATGAAATTGGTATCCTTGCAGATGTATAGGATGGTTCACATATATCCATTCTTACTCCACGCGTAATACGAGTACTATTATATTTTTTTAATATCTTGATCATCTTTCTTTTGATTTTAATACACATCTCAACTTATTTTTATATTTTTATGTAGCTTTAGTCATATAGCTTTGAGTCATATAGAACCAGGAAATGTGAATACGCTATTTTTTTGTAAGCTGTTTGCAATGTAGACATGATATTTACAGATTGCTTTGTGGGATTCTCAGGTTCTGTAAATGATTCAAGGATATTCAGAAATTCAGATTTATGGATATTTGTACAAGAGAATCGTGCAAAGAGAGTTCTTTTTAGGAAACGAGTATATTATTGGTGATGAAGCATATTTAGTGTTATCTTGGTGCATTCCACCCTATATAAACAAAAGAAATTTGACAGAAATTAATTAAATTTATTGCTTTTTTATTTTTTCTATCATACCATCAATTGAATTGTAAAGCTTACAACACACAATGAGATTTTTTCGTGCTAGATTACATGAAAACTAATAATTTACTGAAATTGCAGAACGCAGCATGCAAAGTTTTTAGTAATTTAATAGCTTGCATGTGCTATGTAACAAAATAATTGCAATTACAAAAAATTTACTGTACATTTTATTTTTTGATATTTTTTTATGTAGGCACAAATTAACTTCAACAAAGAATTGTCAAAAATAAGAAAAATAGTAGACAGAATATTTGCTCTATTAAAGGGAAGATTCCGAAGATTTCAATATTTACAGATAAGTATGGCAGAACTGATTCCTTATATAATATTGACCTGTTGAGTATTACATAATCTTCAAGAACAGAATAGATGATTTTATTGAAGAGGGCAGACATAATGAGGGAAATAAATAAATTTGGGATCAAGAGACAATTGGCAAGCTAAGAGAAAATATTATTTACAATGATGCACAGAGTCCAGCAAAACGTAATTATTTACCAGCACTAATAGCTTGACTTATAGGATGTATGTTCAATCTAACATCTCTACAACCAAGAAATCATATTTTACTTTATAGTATAATAAGAAAATAATAAACATGTTAATAGTCTTCTTTATTTTGTATGAATCTTCAACTAAATTTTAAATTACGTGTAATTAATATAAATAAATTTATTTTGTCAAAATATATTTATTACGTCATTTTATAATTATTATTTGAATAAAGAGAATATTTATTGCTGCTATTTAATCATTAAATTTACATATATAAATCCCACTTTTATTCTCACAAATTACTACATGTTTGACAATAACGAAAAAGATAATTAGTAGATGATAATAATAGAAATATTTATAATATAATAATACTTATAATAATATGCCGTCATATATCTTAAACTTATTTTAGGCTAATAAATAATATACTGTAATTTATGAATTAATATCAGTTTAATAAAGATACATTATTAGGATCTTCATATATAAAACATATTCTTTTCTGCAAATTCTTTGATAATTTCTAAAATATTAAACTTTGTAATTGTTAAAAAAAAAAAAAAATAAAGAACATTATTTCTAAAAATGTTAAATAAAAATAAAATGTTTTACAATAAAAACCAAAAAGAAGAGATGAATGATACAAGAAGTTGGCTGAAAAGAATAGACTTATTAATATGCAAAATCTTTTTGGTAGACATAAGTTTAATAAAAAATTAAAATTTTTCTAATCGCTTCTTCTATATCATAAACTTTCTTTGGAACACTTGTAATAAAATATTTTATGTTTACATTATAATGACGTAATAACAAAAAAGTGGAATAATCTAGATTAAATATATTCTTTATAATTTGTCAATGACTTTTCCCATCATTTCCTTGTATGCAGTAATTGCTCGATCAGATGCTGCTATTAGTTCCTTGTGATGCTATTCTTTTGCTTACTCCCTCTATCTAGCATCTTCAAATAAAAAAGCAGACCACTCATCCAATTACCTCTGAATTCTGATTTTTTTTTACTTTTTTTTCATCAGATTCATCTTTATTACATTTATCTTTATTAAATCAATTTTCTGTGTCACAATCTTGAGAACTTACTGATCGCTTTCTCAAATTGGAAGCCAGGGTCACAGGTTGGATACAAGGTTTATCTCCCAGTACTTCCTCAAATTTATTGAAAAATTTACTTAATGGATTATTGCCTGATTGTTATGGCCTTTTATCTTAATATGCTTCTTAGTTCAGTTCTTTAAATTTATTTTCGCATTGTGTACCAATGTACACCCACTGATTATTCTCATTTTGAAGAACAGTAGCAATTTTCCATTCTTTCAAAGATTTGTATTTCTCATTTTTGAAATCATTCTCATATTCTTTCTGCATAAATTAATCGTCTTGTATCATTATCCTTCAAAGATGCTGTAACGTTAAAAAAGTAAGTTTTATATTAGTCATGGTAAATATTATTGCTAAGCAATAATATAAAGGAGAAAAGATCTCAGACGAGTAATAAAAGAATGCAAATCTAAATGTAAATTTTATTACTGCATTATACTAGAACAGATTTGACTCACAGAGATTTTTTCACAGAGAGAGAGCCATGATCTAATAAATAAGTACGAATTAAGTTACATAATGTTTTAAAACGGATGTTTATTTTGTTGATCTCTTTTAGTTTTATTCTCAGCTATATATCTATTGTTGATGTAATTTTATTGAAATTTTTCTTTATATTATTGTTTTACAAAAACAAGTTTGATTTTAAATATTCTGTAATTTTGACGTTATCAAGAATAAATTATCAAAGAAACATAATGTCATAAGAATTTGTACCTTGCTGTGTTGACGCCTGCGTACTCATTAATGTACTACTACTGGACTCAGGAATAAGACTTTTGGGCTCATGATGACCTACAATAATTTCTTGTAGCCCAAAGAATGCTACAGATTCTTCAGAAATAGGTACTAATATTACAGTTTTATCTAGAAAAAAAGTTACATACTTATTTCTTACAAACATTTCTAATCACAAATGTGTTTAGGTTAAAAGATACAAGTAAACTATAAATTTTGCTTACCTATCATGTCATAGACTAGAAGATTTCCTTAGAAAATCATACATCGCCATGTTATCATTATTAGTGCATAACATATGTCTTTCTTTTAATACATTTACACGCTCCATTGCACACACAAGGTGTTTTTCTTTCAAAGTATTTTATTTCTATTCTATATTGCACTAGAATTCTCTTTTTTGCTTTCAAATATTAAAATGCGCTTGGCTTAGCTCACTTTAAGTTTCAAAAATATATTAATTCAGTCATGAAAAATGTCCTCACAGTTCAAAACATCCCGCCATATACAAAATTACGCGGATCCACCGTAAAATTTCAAGATGAAAAATTTTCCCTCCGAGGTACTACTCAGTAGAGTTTCCGACCGCGGAAACTTTTTACCTCTGTCACCTCGGTACAATCCGAACGTTTCCGAACGGCGTGAATTCACCCGAATACACCCAAGTAAAGTTTCCGAATGCACCCGAGTGAAGTTTCCGAACGCAATCCAACGGCACAACGCGAACGGAAAACGTCCGTGTGCGGTCGCGGTAGATGCGGATGCGCGAAGTACACACCTATAAACGTCACGTGGTGCGGCGAGACGTAGATTTGCGAGTGTGACTCATGGTCCTAGCTAGAAACGCGTCACGAGACGCTTGAAATGCAGCGCGATAACAACCAGCGCGTCGGCTGAGAAAGCTCAGCGGAAGCCGTAAATTCTCGATCCCCTGAATAATGTCGGTCACTAGAGAAATGCGAAAACCGGAGTTCCGCTTTTCAGCTATTGGGAATATCCAGTGGAGGTAGAACACGCTCTACCTCCTGGTTATTGCGTATCAGCGGGACTTGCCGGAACCGGTCGGAAAACATATCGAGAGCTTTCGATGGAGACAAGATACACCTTACCTCCGCACGTTTCTTCTTCTTCTAGTTCCCCTGTATGGATTTCTAACCCTATGCTTGGATTATAATACCATGCGTAGAACGGATCTGGTGATCCAGCATAAAAATCTCTTCGGGGGCAGAGCTCTGCTTAAAAGTTACTATTCAGTATAAGGTTTGCCAACATAATCAGAGGTCTTCAAATATATCTTTGGAATTACAAAGACAGAGACTCCAGATGCCGCCTCATTCGGTGTGCAAATCAACTGCAACTGAGCGTTACCATAGGTGCAAGACCGTGTATAAAAAACGAATATAGCTAAAATTTAAATATTAAAGTTACATTTATTCATGAAAATAACCAAAAAATTGATAGCTTTAATGTTTGACAAAGCAACAACATAAACTAATAAAGAAAGGAAAATTCCAATTTCAATAAGTGACTGAATCAAATCATTTCTAAATTCAAGGCTGACCCGGGGGCAAACCCAAAAAATATGATTTAGGTCCTGAAATTCAAAGCTACACTCACAATCTGGATTTTCCTTACAGCCTATTTTATATAAAAAGGCATTTGTAAAAGAATATCCCGTTATTAATCTAACCGCCTTATTAAAATCATTTTTATAAATTTTTAACTTATGAAATGAAGTTAAATCTACCCCAGTATTTAATTCCATAAAATATCTACCTGTGTTTAGATTAAGTGAGTTAAAAAATTTTTCATCCTATCTCTATATGTTTGAGAACGAGCAGCTAAACAATGCTTATAATCCACCTTATTTTTAAGCAACATACCGTATGATTCAATTTATACATAACACTTATGTGTGTATTATTGGTATCCGATTCCACAAGGTCATCATCATTAATCACAAAAGTCTTGGAACTATCAGTGAAAATCCTAATCTCTCGGGTAGAAGGTGATCTAAAAACCATCAGACTATTTAAAAGCCCTATTTGGATTACTACAACCTTTGGCCAACACATCAGAGTCCATATCCACCTGAATCTTAACTTGACCCAAATTCACAGGGTAAGCAAAAGCAGCATGAATATTCCAAACATATAACGGCTTTTTAAAGTGCTTAATTTCATTCCAATTAAAAAGGATAAATGGTATATTTCTATTAGGTACTCTCCCATCTGCCACCGATTGAGAAAAATAGTTTAATTATTTAGAATTTTACTATTAAGTTGATTACATTTAAGCAAAAAACTTTCAGATAGTTTATTTATTGTATTGTTAAATGATCTTTGGCCAGAAAACTTCCAACTCACTCTATTAGTTGCAGCCTTAGGTAACTCCAATGCCTTCTTATATGCAGCGCATAACAAGTTGTTAATTAGGTCAATATATGAATTGGCCGCATTAATACCTATACCAGAAGGCTTCCCACTCAAATTGTGCCAATAAGGTGGCATTAATAAATTTCAATGACATTCGAGCACTAATTCCCTACGTGAATCCCGATATCCACTTTAAAATATTCATAAGTATAGATTTATTTTTCAAAAAAGCAATATGATTCTTCCAGTTTAGTCTAACATCCATGACTAATCCCAGATATTTAACCGATCTACTAAAAGATATAACCGAATCATATAAATCAATTGATTCAGGAATATGAAATTTTCTAGTTTTATGGAAAATAATATACTGAGTCTTATTGATTTTAAGTGAGAGATTAATGGCTCCAATCATTCAAATAAAGAATGAAAGGCCATCTTAAGTTATTCATTTACTAAATTAAGTTCCTATCCCTTGATAGCACAGTTACATCGTCCGCAAACTGAATCATAGAGCAATTGTGAGAGATTTGAAAGACAATCTTTCTAATATAAAAATTAAACAACAATATCGACCCTTAAGGCAATCCCTTCTGAGTGGTATTAATGCCAAAAACATTATTATTATAAAATTTTACCGATCTACCATAGAGAAAAAACTTAAAAAAACTTTTATATGATAACAAAATGTTCAACATATTTAAGTCATTATAAAGAATATCCAAAATGACATTATCATATGCTCCCTTGATATCAAGAAATAAAGCACCCAGTAATTGACCCTGAGTAAATATATTATATACTTCTAAATTAATATGGGCCAAACAATGGTCACAAGATCGCCTCTTGCAAAAACCAAATTGATTATCCAGTAAAATATTCTCTAATTCAACAAATCTTTCCAAGCGCCTCAAAACTAATTTCTCAAAGATTTTAGCCAAACAAGATGAGAGTGATATCAGCCTTAAACCCTTATTATTATTTTTTGGAATCAAAATCGTGTCATATTTCCTCCTAGACTCCGGAAAAATACCGTTGTCCATCATTTGATTAAAACTTCCACAACTGTATGTGGCAGATGTGAAATGATTAAGTTATTGATTAAATCAGGACCAGCAACACTATTTATTTTCAGTAATAAAATTGATAAATATATTTCATTAAGGGGTTACGCCACCCTGACGGGACTAAAAACACATTCAATTTCAATAATTTTTTTTGGCGCTGATACCGCAAATTAATTTTTTTCTTTTTTATTTTCAAATTGTACATGCTTTTAAAAGTATGTAAAAAAAAAATCAGTTTAAAATTCTGAAAATGGGTTAAGATAGGCGTATTTTGGTCCGGGTTGATTTTTGAAGGCGCCCTTGGTGGTGTAACGTCCACTGACGACATTTTTCATCTGAAAAAAAACAAAAAATTTTTTTTTAAACTTTAATGCAATACGCATCGTGTAGCATACGGAATTTGAACAAAAAATTTTTTTCGATAAATGGGAGCAGTTTGAAAATTTTGTGTTGTTTTTAGCCCTGAATTTGTTATTTAAAACATTCATAAAAGTTGTAAAACTTAATATATCAAAAAATCCGTATGCTACACGATAGATAATATCGTAAAGAAGATACCATATAAATTTCAAATTAATCGGTTGGATAGTTTCCGAGATAATCGTGACACCGTTTCAAAAAATACAGTTTCGAGTAAAACGGAAAATAAAATAAAATTGTATTAAAACCTTAAAAATCGATTTCTTTTTGCTTTACCTTTTTAGTCCGCAATTCCAGGGCCACACTTCTTACACTTCACTGCTTCACTAATAATTGAAAAAACTAAACTTGTTCAAACGCGCACGGTCGGCGAGAGGCGAAGCGGCAGTGACTACCTGCGACCCTCTGTCCGAAATCCGCTCGGTCACGCTGCCACTGTAACGCGCATAACTTTCTCTATATTTGAAATATTTTTACCGGTCCAATCTTAAAATGTTCCTGACATTTCAGGCTTCAAAATAATGCAAAAAAAAATCCATTTTTTGAAAATTTCAGGGTGGCGTAACCCCTTAATATTGAAATTCACAAATAATCTCTCAGAAAATTGAGAATCTATTGGAGAATCAAAACTATTTATGCACTAGGGTGGAGCCAAATTATCTATCATAGGAAATATTTTATTTTCAATCGATTGATCACTAGGAATAACCGGATTATTAAATGTACAGTTCTTAAATATATTAATCATTTCCTAAAAATTCTTTGATTGGAAGTTATGATCCACTTTAACAAATTTTCTGAAATTTTCTCTTTTGGCAATAATTTTTCTAGCTTTAAGGGAAGATTGTCTGTACAGATATAAACTCTCTCTAGAAGGGGAAACTTTAAAATTATTAAAAGCCAATTGTTTATCCCTAACAGCTTCTTCGTACATTTCATTCCATCAAGACTTATTTTTTGCTCTCCGATAACTCTCAAATTTAAGCCCAATAACAATCTTATAACCCTTATCCAGATCATATTTAACAGTATTAGAGCAATTATCTATACATCTTCCCCCCCCCCCCGATTCAAAAAAAGAATTTAATATAGCGTCCTGCAAACTATTATACAATTCACTTGAGCTGTTTTTTTTCTAGTAAATTTTTAACTCAAACATTAATTTTATTTTGAAATACCTTATTATCCTAATATTTTGTAATTAATTTAAGTCTGTTAGAAAGAGTCCAAAAACTATCCTGATTAACCGAAGTAACTTGAATCGAGATCGAATAATGATTACTTAATATTTGTAAGGGCAATTTGTAAATCCGTAATGGCATAAATCAAATTTTTCTCACAGTCATTTGCTCTAATAGATCTCTAAGAGCAATGTTGCGCATTAAAATCTCCACAAATTACAATACAAAAAGACTCATTTAGTCTAGATATACAAAAGAAGAATGTTTTTTTCATTCCTCAGGATTCACTTTCACATCTGGAGGTCTATATAAAGAAATTACTAGCAACTTTTTTTTTGAAAGTCTAAATCCATTCACAACTACCACCGTTAATTCCAATTCTGAAACCGTGGAAATTTAAGACTATATACTGATGGATCCCATTTGGTTCTGTGTATAATAGCTGTACCTCCTCCGAAGCGACCTCATACTCATCCCCAACCATCATTACGAAAAACAGTAAAACGGCCATAATAACACCTGCTCTTAGCCAAGATTCCTGAATGCAAACAACATCATATATATTTATCTTATTGGAGATTTCATGTAATTTAGATTGTAATCCCCTACTATTGTATTATATAAAACATTATTGAAATAAGAAAATCAAATGCGAAAAAGTTGAAGTGTTGAATTTCAAGAGACTGATTAAATACAATAGAACAAAAAAAAATTAATTTAAAATAGAATTAAATACTATTTTAGCAATCTCAGAGATTTTTTATTTTCTAGAAGAACTAGTTCTAGCTAACGTGCAATAAATTTTAGCAAGGATGGCTCAAAAGCCCATTCTAATCTCCACCATGATCTCCCAAATTGATATGACTCTTATTTGTAATTTTATGAACAACATTCTTCCTTGTACCAATCGTAGTAGATGCCGAATCCTCAGGTTCTACCAATGAAACCCGATCCTCATCCTCTCTTTCAATTGGCACTCTATTAAACTCCTTAACAGAACCACCACCATCATGATAACCAATAGCTGTTTTTTTCTTTTTTTTTAAAACGAGACATAAAGGGATCCAATCTGGAATTACCTTTTTCCAAAGATGTCAAATCATTTCCACTCTCCTTCAAACCAGAGGCTCGTTCTAGTACCTTAGACATCGAATTTTTTTAAGGATCACGAGCGTCACCATAAAACAAAGTATCATTCTCATCTGTTTCTCTAGACATGTATGCCAATGGATAAAAAGTTCTTTCAATTTCTTTTATACTTTTAATATTATGTTGTCTTAAAAGTTTTTTTGATAACAAAGGATCTACATTAGCATAGGCGCAAATCGTACTAATTAATTTAAAATATTCAAAAACCGGCCAAGCTATATCAAAAGAATGATGTTCTTTACGACAATTATTGCAACTGACTGAGATATATCATATATATAAGCATATATATAAACATCACGAGCAGATCTTGTTACATTTGAAGTAGTGTGACTACATTTAGCATACTAAGATAACTCACCCTTAGTTGCTTTGTTCAGTCGCGTAAAAGTCTCCGGAATATTGACTAATATTCCTTAATTTGTATCATTCGACACCGTCGATGATATATGAAATATCTAATTAAAAATTCGTATATAAGAATACATTGCGAGAAAATATATAAAAAGTTTAGTAAAGTATTATTACCTTCAACATCATGAGGATAAAATCTAGCTTCCTTCTCCTCCTCCTTCTTCTGTTCTTCTTCTTCATTTTCTCGCGTCAAAAAGTGACATTTTATTATCCTTCGCATAAACTTACTGTAAATTTTTGCTAACTTTTTAAAACTTACGTCGTGGTAGAATAACGGTTCTACAACACACAATATGGGCAGAATCCTCATCATCTAAAACAATATTTATTAATAATATTTTTACATAAGTATTATTATTCTTATTTATTATTTATTTATTATTGTTCTATCCTTACAAGAATTGGTTTTATAGGAAGAAATGTTTTAAAAATCCGACTTACTGGATGATAATATAACGATGAAGATGTTCCGCTCATTACGTGGGTAATCCCGCACGGCCTCAATTCGTGCTCTT